AAGAAAAATAATCTTCTTTGGACTTTATTTATGAAAGAAATTCCTGGTTTAAGTGGAGTTGAAGCTGGAAGAATTGGGGATTATTATTATTATGGTATTGAAAAGGCTCCTGCATTAGATAAAGCTGTCGAGTGGTATTTAATCGCTACATCATCAAATCATCCAAATGGTTGGTTTAAATTAGGAATAATAAAACAATATCTTGACAATGATAATAGATATAACTTAAGTTCTCCTGACTATTATTATAATCATTTAATGAATGTAGTTGGTTATCATACTATAGGTTATATTCTACATCTTAATTATGTCTTAGAATTTAAATTATTACAATACCAACCTTTTATTATCGCTTTCTTTGTTATTACTTCATTTCTCTTTTTATTCAAAAAGTTTTTTATTCCAAATGATGTTATTAACACTCATGATGAAACTGATTAAATTACTTTTTATTTTAATTATTCTTTTTCTTTTTTTTACTTTTCTTTCTTTTGATTATATTTTAATTAATCAAACAATGAAACTCATGGAGAAATGAAATAGATATCAATTCTATATTATTTAATGGCATTATTATAGTTTTATGATATAATTGAAAAGATATTCTTTTTATTGAATTGATAAGAAAAATAAAAACAGATAAATAGTATGGTGATATTCTTTAAATAGTGGTAAGAAATAATTTTGAAATAACTTATGAAGGAGTTAATTTTGAAAGTTTAATTAAAATGTTCTCACTTAGTATTATGTATATTTTTATTATTTCATTTTGTCTTTATTTTATTCATTATTTTATATTCACTTAATTATTACATTTTTATTTTCAATTTGTTTTTTTATTTATTCTTTTGATTTGATTTATTTAACATTGTATTTCTTATTTTATGATTGTTTAATTCATATAAATGAGATTAGTTTAATTAATAAATATCATTTTCATTAATTATTATTAATTGTATTTATATTATTTGTAATATTTATTAATATCATTTTAAACTAAAGCACATTAGAATTAAATAAACAATATTAATATATTTGAATTAATATTTTGATATGATTATTTGTCATATTATTATTTAATTATATTAACAAAATTTTATTAATTTTACAAAATATATTACTCTAAATTATTCAATATTATTTTATAACAACATTAATGCAATTAAATTGAATGAGAGATAATTTTAAATAAACTCATTTTAATACTGTTAAAACAGAAGTTAAATAAATATAATAAATACAAAAACAAGAAAAAATATAACAAAAGAATAAAGAGTGATAAAAATATATAATTGATGATGAAAACAAAGAATAAACTAACAATAAAATAGATAATTATAACAATTGTCATATCATTTTATTGATTGTTTGTATTTTTAATCAGTGAAATTTACAATTCTTTATTTGTAAATTCTGAAAACAAATAATAGATTCATATTAGAAATAATAATTGATTAGTGATATTATATCATATATTTATGATGAGATAATAACTTGTTTATTCATTTATTAAAATTATATAATTACTTTGATTGACTTCTTCATTAACATAGATCTTAATCTGTTGATTCATTTTATTTTATATACTATTCATAATAATTATTATATAATAGGTTTCATTTATAAATTAATTAAAATGTACTTTTTTATAAAATAAACAAACGAACTACACAAACAAATATTATAAATGAAACAAAAATCAATGATATATTATTTCTTCTACAAATAATAATGAATATGAAGTTGAGTTGGCATATCAAAATGATGGTATAATGATAAATTAATAGAAGATAATAAAAACAAGAGAAAGAAAAGAATAATATCTAACAAAAGAAGTAATAATAAGAGGCATATTTAAAATCAATTATTTGAAATATTGAGAAGTATAAAATAAAAAACAAGTCTATCAGTAATTACAAGTAGTTTTAAAATATCAGATTAATATATGATTTATAACAATAAAAGAAAGAGAATAATTAATTAATAATGAATGAAAAATAGTAAAACAAAAAATAAGAACTAAATAAAATAAAAACAATAAAACACATAGGCAATAAATTAAATACAATTGATGATAATTTAATATAAATAAAATAATAAACATAAAATGAAATAAACGAATAAATAAAATAGCAAATCAAATTCAGTGAATCATAAAATCAAAACAAACAAATAACCAAATAAATAAAGAATAAAACAAGGTAATAGAATAGAAAATATTCAATAATAATTCATCACTCGTTAAATATAAATTATCTATTTATAAAAGAAACTGATATTGTAAACTCACTTTGACAATTTATTTTAATATTACACAACAATTGATAAAACAACATTATTCAATTTAAAAATATTAAAGTCTCCTGAAAAAATAAATCATATTTTAATTTTATTTTTAAAATAGAAGAAAATAGAATGATAATCTTAAAATTCTTTTAAGTTCAAACAAACAAGAATGGAACATACAACAAAATCAACCAACATCAATAATAAATCAATAATGAAATTAGGATATAATGAAATAATGATAGTATCAATGTATTTTGATGATATTGAAGATTTTATTAATTTAGAAATAGGAATTAAAAGATTTCAAGGAAATATGGAACGATTTCATTTTAATCCAATTCCATTAAATGATTATTCAAGAAAACTCTTTCCTAATATTGAAACATTTCATATTTATAATAGAAGTGATGAAGAATTTAATGATGGAAAAATCATTAAAAAAGTGATGTGGTGTACAGTAGATTATTCAACATATTTACAAGAGAAAGAAGAATGGAATGAATGTAAAAGTATTATATACACAAAACATGAAAGAGAGAAGTATGGGAATACAATACCACCAGAAGTTACATCACTTGGAAGTAGATGTTTTGAAGGGTGTTATTCATTAACATCAATTAATATACCAACAACAATCAGTAAAATAGGAGATGATTGTTTTAGATGGTGTTCATCATTACAAACAATCAAAATACCATCAACTGTAAGTGAGATAGGAAATGGATGTTTTTCAGGATGTTCAACATTAACATCAATTAATATTGAAACTATGCAATTCATTAGTCAAGAAAGAATATTTATTAATGAACCAGTGTTAGTTAGTTTTAGTATACCAAAAAACCTACAAATAATCAATGAAGAGAACATTGAAAAGAAGGACATTAACGAATTTATTGTTCCAGCTACAATCACTAAATTAGGAAATTGGTGTTTTAATTCTTGTTCGTCATTAACATCAGTTAATATACAGTCGTCAGTTAGTGAATTAGGAAATGGTTGTTTTTATAATTGCACATCACTAAAATCAATTAACATACCATCTACAATCAAGGAGTTTGGGTATTGGTGTTTTAATAAATGTTCATCATTAACATCAATTAATATTCCATCATCAGTTACATCAATTGGGAACACACAATTTGATAGATGTTCTTCGTTAAGAAATCTTGAAATAGATAATCTACAATTTGTTAGTGAAGAAAGGATATTTATGAATGAACCAGTGTTGGTTAGTATTAAAACGCCAGATAATATAGAAATGATAAATGGAAAAAGTGTTGAAAAGAGGGACGTTAATGAATTTATTATTCCAACTCAAGTTAATGAATTAGGAAAGTGGTGTTTTTATGGATGCATGTTATTAACATCAATTAATATTCCATCATCAATTAGTAAATTAGGGGATCGCTGTTTTTATGAATGCTTTGCATTAACATCTATTAATATACCATCATCAATTACATCATTTGGTGGATATTGTTTCTATAACTGTGGATGTGAAGAAGAGTTAAAGAAGAATAAAGCAATACCAAGAATTTGTTTTAATAGGTGATAGAAAAAGGCAAATAATAAATAATGAACTAATTTATTAATTATTTGAATAAAAGAATTGTAAAATACTTCTGAATATAACAATATTATAAAAACTATATTTGAATGATAATGTAAAACTTAAAGTTCATTTCATATTAAAGTAATTATGATAGCAAACTATTTCAGTGAAATAATAATTCAAATCTACACTATTTATTAAGAATTTAGAAAATTATTATATTTTGAAATATAATTGATGTTAATGGATTGGTTATTTATTAATATTTTTAATTGAATTTAATAATATACAAAAAGAATATAGTACTTTATTTCAATTATTCAATAAAATTATTAAAATCTGGTTTTATTGATGTTAATACATCACAATTAATTATAGACCAACATTTAATAACACCTTCTGATTATATAAAAGAATATAGAAATAATACAAAAGAATGTATTGAAAAAATAACAAAAGATATTATTAATATTTTCATAATCATTATTCAACAAAAAATAAAAATGTTAATTTGTTTATTCATTACCATAAACAAAAGAATATATCAAGAATTAATCAATCTATTATTTTAATAACAAAATTCATATTAATCTAGTATTGAAATAATAATGACTCAATCATTAATTTGTTAAATGAATTAAATGGTAATGGTTCTAAGTATATTCATATTAAATTATATTCAAAATGTACAAGTGATTACAGTAATATTGAAATAAATTATAGAGTTACTAACAATGAAATAAATAAAATGATTTAACATTAATCCAAATAAGATATGATATATTCAAATAATTCTGATGTTAAACATTATTCATTTCATAATATATACTTTATATCTTGTTTATAAAAGTTAATTAATATTTAGATAAACATTAAATCATTCAACAAAACAATAAAATAAATATTGTTTCATTATAAAATAATAAATTAGGTTCAATATAAATGATAATGATTATCAGTACATCATTTTATCATATTTAATTTATTAAATATAATCATAATTTAATATTTTTTTTATAATGAAACAAACATACTTTTTAATGTTTTAAGAAATAAATAACAAAGCAACACAATTTATGATTGAAATAATGAAATTATAAATAAAAAACATATTAACATTACTAAGTGATATAATTATAATATTAGATAAATATAATTCATTAAAACATTATTTTAAAATAGAATATCTTATAGAACTAAGTATTTATAGTTTTAAATGATTACATAATAAGAATCACTTTATAACAACAATAATTCATTTTTATCACAATTAATATTAATTGTTATTAATCATTAAATAGAACTATCTTATTTAACATTGAATATTCAGTGAAATATAAAATAATATAACACAATGATAAATATATGATTATTTGTTGTTTATGTAAATAATGAAAGAATATTGAAAATTATAATAAATTTCACAAAAAATATAAATAATATGTCAACCCTTAATAACCCTTATTTTCCATTTATATTATACATTTTAAAGAAATTCTTAAAATTAAAATTAAAATAAAATTTTAAATTTATTTTCTAAATTTAACATACTCTAAATTATTATATGTATATCCTATCTTAATTCAACATCTATTGTACATACATTCAATTAAATTTGATATTGTATTATTAATATTAAAATATTTTAATGAATATATTATCAATTGATGATTCACACAATCATATGTATTCTTTATATCATAGAATATCTTATTGAATCTTTTCTTTTTTAGATTCCATTTCTTGCCTTCTTAGATAATTTTTAATGATGCATTCTTTTGCTGATAAGCACCTTTCTTTATACAATATTTGATTTTTATCTATTTTGTATTTAACATCATTTATTTGTAATTGGTGTGTGATTTTACTTTTAATGAATGATGTGAATACTTTCATTGTTATATTAAGACAATATATTTGTTTATAGTTTTCTGGTGATTTAGAATCACCATAATTGTAAATTAATGTTGTCTTTACAACTACCATCTGCATGAGGATACTTTGTTGGTACTCTAACCATGATTGGAATATTTCTAGTTTATCTCTGTACCCAGTTAGATGATTCAAATAATATCATTGTATTCAATCAATACCATGTGCTTTCCATGCATTCTTTTTAGTGAATATTCTATTTCATCTATTGATATTTTAATTCTCTTATTGTTACTCTTCTTTCCTCATTCTTCTATGATTCTTCTATTATATTTATTATTATTATCTATTTCTTTCTTTTCATCTTCTATTTATATTTATTGTTTAATTCTTTTTTCATCTTAATTTCTCTTTCATTATTTTTCTATTTCTTTAACTTCATTATTTCTTGTTTTACTTTCTAATTTTTTTTGTTTTTCAATCATCATCTTTTCATGAAATTATCTTTTATATTTATATCTTCTTTATTTATCTTGTTTATTCTTATAATATATTGATTAAACATTCTACTTCAATTATTGTATTTATGTTTATATTAATTATGTTTATCTGATAATGTGTTATTTATAAATTGATAATGATTATTATTTCATTGATAAGTGATTACAATAATTATATCTTTGATCATATCTTTTAAATCTATTTCTTGTTATAAAATTGTTTTTATATGATTTTCATTTATTATATGTTTTATAAAAGAAGAAAGGAAAGAATAATAATAATAATAAAACAATAAGTAAGAATATAGAAGAAAATGAAGAAATATAAAATATTAATTTCTTATTTAATCCTTATACATGGTTTATGTTCAAATAAACAATATTTAATATTTTCATTTCATTTCAATTACAATGATTCGTTGTAGTGTAAAACATTCTGGATATTGTTTTCCACAAAGTGTATTTGATATTCTTTTATATGAAACTGAGCATTGATTACAAAATGATCGTGTTTTATAATCTTCTTTATAAACACAAATATCACCATCTCCAAATCTAAACAAATAACCACCTGATTTATCAGGTAAATGAAATGCATATCATGGATCTTTAATATCAAATTTCATCATTCCGTGTATTCTTCCTTTTGATTTTAATGAAAATAAAAATGAATTTGGATCATTTATAAAAAGATCAACTTTATCAATTTTCTCATTAACATATCCCCCAAATTTATTTCCATTTGTATCTTTAATAATAATTATTATATGTTCTTTATTTATTATTCTTTGATTAAATACTAATGTGTACTTATCCCAATCATCAATATTTGAATCAAATATTATATTGGATACTTTTCTTTCTGTCCATTCTTCTAGTTGTTTAATTATTTTATTTGTTTTATCATTTGATATGTTATTTGATGTTGATATTGTTATTTCCATTATTTTTTATTTTTAAGTTTTTTTTTAATAACATTATTTATTTTATTGTTATATATCACATTTAATTAGTTTTGTTATTGATTATATCTCATATTTATTATTAAGTTCATTTTATGTTTTTAATAACATTTATTTATTCTTTTTGTTATTTATTTTTATTTTATTCTTTTATTTCTTTCTTTTATTCTTTTCTATTCATTTAAATATATTCTTTTATTTCTTATTTATCATTTCTTTCTTATTTGATATTTTTATTTATTTGTTTCTTGTTATATTCTTTATTTATTCTTTTTATTAATTTCTTCTTATGATTTCTTTTATTTCATTTATTCATCATTATCATGTTTTAATTTAAACAGATGTTATATCTATAATGATTTATTAGATTATTGATAAAATTAGTTTAAATACATTTATGAATAACTTCTTTTTACTTCATTTCATTATTTTATTAAATTAGATTTTGATAAATAATGAGATAATATTATTGTTAATGTTATTGTTAATAT